TCAATCAGTATATTTACGATTAGTCAATTTTTCAGTCAATATAAGTAGTTTAGTCATATATCCTAGATTCTGTATTGTCACGTTTATATTTTAGATAGATGACAACTATCTTAGTCTCACGATACATAAAAATGCAACAACGTACAAATTATATTTTATCAATTGATAAATGCTATAATTTCTTATGTACACGTATTTTATTTTTCTTTTTTAACAGAATACACTTCACTGTACATTTTGTCATGGCTTGATTTAATGCTGTAATGTAGGTCTTAAGAAGCATGCCTAAATGAGTGTTTCAACTTGAAAAGCTTTAAGTGACCCAAAGGTAGGACAGTTGATACAAATAAAAGACAATGAACGTTACGAGCTTCTAGTTAGATACTTAATCGTAGTTATAAAATTTTGTATTCTGTATCAATTGCCTCTACTTCTGGATCGTTTGCATATTTATAATCATATAAATTCCGTTTGCATAATAAGCTATGTTTAGTGAATAAACACTAATTTTTTATTGTATTTTTGAATAAAATTATTTTTTATACGTGATTTGTAATTTGAATGATGATAGCTCTTCTATATACTTGAACACACACTTTAAACACTAATCTTTCAGATGTCCAAAACCAGACCTATTTGAACTTATTAACTTGTTGAAACAATATTTGCATTGTTGAAAAATCAGTGAGCGTACAAGATATCGGTGGAGAGTTCGTTATAAAATAATCATTGTTTAACATGGTGCCGTAGTTAGACCTCACAAGTGATCTAGAGCTATTGATATTTTTTTACGCAGTGAATAGCAAAGAAGGCTCATACCAAGGCCCTTCACGCTTTTTATATTGGATCGACTACAACCTAGAACCTTGAGACGCACCTCAGCTTCACCCAATAGGTTCGATGACCGCTCGTCCATGAACCGAAATCCGAAATTTTGCTTAACGCAATTTTAAAGACGCATCAAATTCTTTGTTGTATAATTTTGGAGCATCTGTAATGATTTCAAAACCATTCTAATATATACTAAGTGACATATAAATCCGAACACCCAGTTTAAATGGTTTTATTTTAATAAAAGTTGGTGAATGTATTTATCTTACTGTAAATAACAAGTGAAAAAATGTTCAGCCTTATCAGTTGGACATTCCGGTTACTATACTGTTTTTTTTTTAATTCACTAACGCTCTAAAAATGAATATTTCAGCCGCAGTAAAGAATCAACGTTGGCGAATTTTGGTTCTTGACATCCTTTACGATCGGTTACGATGCCTAGAGTACGGAGACCTGTACGATTTCGTCAACTTAGTGAGTTTGATAGGGGCCGTATAGTGGGACTTCGGGAAGCTGGACTTTCTTTTCGGGCAATTGCAGTTAGAGTGCAAAGAAGTGTAGACACTGTGGTTAGGTGCTGTCAGGCCGTACGCAAAGAGCAAGGGGCACTGAACGCCGCCGTAGAACAACAGACCGTGAAGATCGCCGCCTAAGATTATTGGCCTTAAGGGACCGTTTCTCCACTACCAGGTCCATTGCAAATGAATGGTTTGCAGAACACGGAAGACCTATTGGCATGCGAAGTGTTTACCGACGAATGAGATGTTTTGGCTTGTTTTCATACCGGCCACACTGGGTCCTCCCTTTAACTCGAGAACACCGACGTAATCGCCTTGAGTGGTGCAGACAACGGTCACTCTGGGATCAGGAATGGAACAGTATTGTCTTTAGTGACGAGTCTCGATTTTGTTTAGGCATGTACGATGGTCGTGCCAGGGTTAGAAGGCGACGTGGTGAAAGGAGGAATCCACAGTTTTTTGTTGAAAGACATGTCCATCACAGTGTTGGAGTTATGGTTTGGGGTGCTATAGCTTATGGTTCCAGGTCACCTTTAATCTTCATCAGAGGTAACATGAACGCGCAGCGTTATATCCACGAGGTTCTAGAACCCCATCTTTTACCCTATCTTGACACCCTGGCAGATCCAACTTTCCAACAAGGTAATGCCCGACCACATGTTGCAAGAGTCACAATAGACTTCTTTCAACATAATGATGTCACATTGTTACCATGGCCACCAAGATCTCCCGACTTATCCCCAATTGAGCACGTGTGGGATATGATGGGTAGGAGATTGCTCAATTTGCAACGTCCTCCTCAGACTCTAGAAGCACTTCGAGAGGAGTTGGTGGTTGCCTGGAATGAGATACCACAGGAGGACATTGACCACCTGATCAGAAGCATGCCTAGGCGCGTTGGACAATGCGTAGCACATCAGGGTGCATCCACACATTATTAAAGGTCAAAGGGCTTTAAAGCAGTGCAATCATTTTGAAATTTTTATCATTTACTTATTATGCTTCATTAAGTACTTATACAAAATTTTATTAAAATAAAACCATTTAAACTGGGTGTTCGGATTTATATGTCACTTAGTATACTTGAACACACACTTTAAGCACTAATCTTCCAGATGTCCAAAACCAGACCTATTTGAACTTATTAACTTGTTGAAACAATATTTGCATTGTTGAAAAATCAGTGAGCGTACAAGATATCGGTGGAGAGTTCGTTATAAAATAATCATTGTTTAACATGGTGCCGTAGTTAGACCTCACAAGTGATCTAGAGCTATTGATATTTTTTTACGCAGTGAATAGCAAAGAAGGCTCATACCAAGGCCCTTCACGCTTTTTATATTGGATCGACTACAACCTAGAACCTTGAGACGCACATCAGCTTCACCCAATAGTTTCGATGACCGCTCGTCCATGAACCGAAATCCGAAATTTTGCTTAACGCAATTTTAAAGATGCATCAAATTCTTGCGTTTTGTTGTATAATTTTGGAGCATCTGTAATGATTTCAAAACCATTCTAATATATACATATAAATCCGAACACCCAGTTTAAATGGTTTTATTTTAATAAAAGTTGGTGAATGTATTTATCTTACTGTAAATAACAAGTGAAAAAATGTTCAGTCTTATCAGTTGGACATTCCGGTTTTTATACTGCTTTTTTTTAATTCACTAACGCTCTAAAAATGAATATTTCAGCCGCAGTAAAGAATCAACGTTGGCGGATTTTGGTTCTTGACATCCTTTATGATCGGTTACGATGCCTAGAGTACGGAGACCTGTACGATTTCGTCAACTTATTGAGTTTGATAGGGGCCGTATAGTGGGACTTCGGGAAGCTGGACTTTCTTTTCGGGCAAGTGCAGTTAGAGTGCAAAGAAGTGTAGACACTGTGGTTAGGTGCTGTCAGGCATGGCTTCGAGAAGGCCGTACGCAAAGAGCAAGGGGCACTGGACGCCGCCGTAGAACAACAGACCGTGAAGATCGCCGCCTAAGATTATTGGCCTTAAGGGACCGTTTCTCCACTACCAGGTCCATTGCAAATGAATGGTTTGCAGAACACGGAAGACCTATTGGCATGCGAAGTGTTTACCGACGAATGAGAAGTTTTGGCTTGTTTTCATACCGGCCACACTGGGTCCTCGCTTTAACTCGAGAACACCGACGTAATCGCCTTGAGTGGTGCAGACAACGGTCACTCTGGGATCAGGAATGGAAGAGTATTGTCTTTAGTGACGAGTCTCGATTTTGTTTAGACATGCACGATGGTCGTGCCAGGGTTAGAAGGCGACGTGGTGAAAGGAGGAATCCACAGTTTTTTGTTGAAAGACATGTTCATCACACTGTTGGAGTTATGGTTTGGGGTGCTATAGCTTATGGTTCCAGGTCACCTTTAATCTTCATCAGAGGTAACATGAACGCGCAGCGTTATATCCACGAGGTTCTAGAACCCCATCTTTTACCCTATCTTGACACCCTGGCAGATCCAACTTTCCAACAAGATAATGCCCGACCACATGTTGCAAGAGTCACAATAGACTTCTTTCAACATAATGATGTCACATTGTTACCATGGCCACCAAGATCTCCCGACTTATCCCCAATTGAGCACGTGTGGGATATGATGGGTAGGAGATTGCTTAATTTGCAACGTCCTCCTCAGACTCTAGAAGCGCTTCGAGAGGAGTTGGTGGTTGCCTGGAATGAGATACCACAGGAGGACATTGACCTCCTGATCAGAAGCATGCCTGGGCGCGTTGGAGAATGCGTAGCACATCAGGGTGCATCCACACATTATTAAAGGTCAAAGGGCTTTAAAGCAGTGCAATCATTTTGAAATTTTTATCATTTACTTATTATGCTTCATTAAGTACTTATAGGTACAAAATTTTAGTAAAATAAAACCATTTAAACTGGGTGTTCGGATTTATATGTCACTTAGTATACTTGAACACACACTTTAAACACTAATCTTTCAGATGTCCAAAGACAGACCTATTTGAACTTATTAACTTGTTGAAACAATATTTGCATTGTTGAAAAATCAGTGAACGTACAAGATATCGGTGGAGAGTTCGTTATAAAATAATCATTGTTTAACATGGTGCCGTAGTTAGACCTGACAAGTGATCTAGAGCTATTGATATTTTTTTACGCAGTGAATAGCAAAGAAGGCTTTCACGCTTTTATATTGGATCGACTACAACCTTGAGACGCACCTCAGCTTCACCCAATAGGTTCGATGACCGCTCGTCATAGGATTTATCAAGTCATTGTGAACGACTGTAGAATCTGTGTAAACCTCACCATCACTATCATCATTTTTATCACTTTGCATCACCAATCCCCACAAAATCGACAGCACATACACACTGTTACTCCGAGAAACGTTTTTCTGTCCAAATCAAACCAGCTATGTAAAAATTACTCGTCTTAATGTATTTTGAAAGAGGCCAACGTCAGCGAAAGATAATTTTTACATGTGTGGCTTAATTCGTCCAGAAAAACTCGGAGTTTTATCAGCATGAAAACCTCTTTGCAACATACAAATAACACTGATTTTCGCTGTCTCTTTGGACATATTTCTTCACGTTTCTGGTTTCTGGTCGCATCTGGGCAATTTTGGTACGCAATGAATGACAAATCACAGGCCAGGCTTTCTGAGGCGGCAGGACCTACCGGTTAACACCTAACCACATCGACACCATGGCACTCTGCGTCCCATTTACACATCATGTGAGTGTTCGCAGCTCTATCTAGGCTTACATTGTGTTTGCTCTTTGTAGTTTAGGTTTAGTAAATTATATTCGTTCCGGACTTCAGTCAGGTCTCGTTTGAGCTTATATAATATTCCGGAAGTCAAGATGTCAAGGAGTATGTCGAATAAGGGCGTACCCAGCTCAAAATAGCAGAAAGTTCAAAAAATCGCATCTACTTCTCGATGCTTGATTTTCTTTTCTATTTGCATGTCATTGTTTTATTCATGCATGTAAAGTCTTTCGCGACGTTTTTACAATTCATATCGATAGGGAAAACTCCCAATTAACAATTTTACTAGTAAAGGATACTGAACAAGTATGCCAAAAATTATTAAAATCGGAAAATCGGATAAACATACAGTGTATGTTATAAAACAACAATGCCGCTTAAAACATTCTAACAATGTTTATACAACGTTTAAATTTTATAATTACTGTATTACTGCTCTTAGAACCCAATTTTGTTTAATAAATTTGACAGTACGACGATTAAGCTTTTATATTGTCTTATAAATGTTTACACAACAATTTTATACAATACTTGAGCTTACTAAATAAATTTGTTTCATATTTAATATACAGGGTGGCGCATCGAAAACGAAACAGACGCATTTACTAAGCTGCCGGTAAATGCGTCTGTTTCGTTTTCGATGCGCCACCCTGTATACTGATATGAGTTTATTCGTTTGCGAGCATCCCTAAAATAGTTTTATTTAGCGCTATGTGCAATTTTAGCAAAATTGGGTTTATACCTGACAGGTTTCAACCAGTCTTGCTAATTTCTCATATAATTTAATTTTTGTAAAAAATGTTCTGGGAAAAAGAGGGGGCTGCTGGCCCGATTGCCACCCCTGGGTACGCCCTTGACGTCAAAATGTTTTATTTCAGCTATTATTAAAGGAACGATAATGGAATTGGAATCGGGGAATGTATCTGAATTGATTTATGCGTCAGAAAATAAATAATTCTATGTAGATTGTACCTATTCGGTATGTAGATGACAAAAAAGTGATTATCCTTTGCCCGCACCCCCGGGTAAAGCGGATACAGACAACAAATTTCATTGAATGTTTTATGACAACATTAATCTTTACATAACAGCTTTTTTTAATTCATATATATTCGGAAAAAGCAAAAACAATGTTTTGTATTCTCTAATCAAAACGGTATTTGCCTGAAGTCCAAAAATGATTCTTATATTTGAGGAGTTATTTTGCACGTTTTAATCATAGATTTTGCTTAACGTGAATATTCATGCTGCATAGGGCGGTTAACTAAGAGTGCGAGTTACTCGTACATCGTAGAGGCTTGCGCCAGGAATAGTTACTATTAAAAAGGCCAAGAGAAAAGCTCGGAAAATATGAGATTCTGAAATGGCCGGCAAAGTGATGTTTCTGTGAATTCCTCTATATTAACCTTACAAAAAAATACTTGACCTTCAAAGTCGATGATAGTGTAAACTTTTTAGTTTGACAATTATTTATTTCTGAAAATAAAGTGGTGGGGCGCTGTTATTGGGCTACAAATGTTATAATATTTGATGTTTTGTTAGTTTCACATGTGTCCGCTAGAAGGCTTTTTTCGACATTCCGACAGAAATGCTTCATTTTCTCAAAAAAATTAAATGTATACTTTATCTGAAGTCACTTGAAATAGCATAAAAACCTTTGGTCGGCGCGTCCTTTGTAATTTCATGACGTATCATAGGCGTGCGGTCATTTATTTAGAACGATAATAATAATGTTTTTATATCACAATAAATGGATTTTACTATCTTCTTATTTTTTTGATTTGGGATAAAAAATACTTATATTGGGAGTTTCATTTATGTTGACTGAAAGTTAAGAAATGGAAAAATTACAGAATTCCAACGTTTGACATAGGCAAATATTTACATAGCAGGTAGGTATATAAAAAGGTATATAAAGACTTACATTATAGGTATTTATATATCATCCTCGCCTTCCGAGCTGTCGCTAGAGTCATCTTGTAGAGGAATTACAACGGGATTTACAGGAGGCAAAACACAATATTCATTTTCTTTTTCAATAATATGCCTAGAACACTGCTTCCATAGGTCTGTGGCAGCAATATGAGATACTGCATCTCTTATTGTGGCCAATAGCGATTCACTTAATTGAGGAGTCTGATTATGTTTTCTTACTTTTTTTTAAGTAGCCCAGACCTACTCAATCGGGTTAAAAATGCAGTAATAGGGAGGTAGACGTAATACTTCATGGCCATTTTGCTGAAGCAGATTGTCAACAACATACTCTTTTTCAAATTTTTGTCTTTTAATAAGATCCAATAATACGGCTTTGGTTGATTTTTGTGGCATTTCCATTCCCTTATCCTTCATAAAATCAATAATGTCTTGTTTTTTGTGCCTGTATTCGGAATTTTGTTTTTCTGTCGGGAATGGTATGGCGCATTGTCCATAATAATCACTGAATTTGGGGAAATGTTTGGTATTAACTGCTGCTCTATCCACTTTTCAAATAAGTCGAAGGTCATGTCCTCATGATAGTCGGCACATGATTCTTTGATATTTTTGGCAGATAACAGCAAGGCATTAGGTATAAATCCATTTTCACTGCCAGCATGGAGAATAATGATTCGTTTTCCACGGTTGCATGGTGCATTTAAAATGCACTTGTTGCTGTCGTCAACCTAGCGGTACTGCACAACATCATGTGTATCATACTACGTTTCATCCAGGCAAATCAGATTTCTTTTCTGCTCTCTATAGATTTTAACTTTGTGCAAAAATTCTTGGCGCAATTCAACGATTCGAGACGACTCCATAATCACCATTCTTTTATCTAATTTTTTGTATTGAAAACCACACAGTTTTACAATACAGTGCAGTGAGTCTAAGCATTTGTAATTATAAAAATCTTCAGGATAATCTTTTAATTTATCCCGTATCATTTCCAACGTGGGCACCAAATTTTCTTTATAAAATCCGTATATTATACGACGAATATCTTCCTGAAAACCCACGTCTATTCTTTTTAATTTTTGCCCTATGCGCTTTCTGTGGAAGGAATGGTTGACTACATCTCCCCTTTTTATAACCCGATAAATGGTAGACCGACTGATTTTTGTCAGGATACAAATTCTGTTTAAAATTTGATTTTGCGAGGAATCTGGATTTTCGTTTTTCAGACAATCATACATATTTAGGATTACTCTTTGGGTCTGTTCCTCTAAATCTTTATGAAAGAATTCTGCCTGCACAGGTTCATCAACCGTCTCCTCGTGGCTTGGAGCATTTTCCCAAGGTCTCCAAAGAGCCATATTCAGGACACACAAGAACAATCAACACAACAATTAAATCAACAAGTAAACTGAGTATTCAAAAGTCAAAAACACACAAACTAATAAAATCTATGAAAAAACACGGACAGACTAAAGAAAACACGTTTATTCACCGCTACACGGCACTGGCTAAACTGTTTCAATTTTCAGTAGCCACCTGCACTTGTTCGGAGCTATGAAATACACGCTTTTTCATTGGCTATGTCCACGCATAGGCGTGCTTTACTCCACGTGGACCGGTGAAACGGCCTTTGATCTTATACGGGGGATATTTACTGCGAAATTTGGCGATTTTTGCAGCAACAGAGCGTGTTAAATATAGATATATAAAACGCACCCGGTATTTCACAGTGTTTCAAGTGACTTCAGATAAAGTATACTCGTTTTTTTTTATGAGAAAGTAGCTAAATGATGTCTAAGCAAGCTTGCGAAAACCGCATCTCGATATCTTGTTCTTAACCTAAAATTCAAGCCAAAGAAAAACATTTTTGAACTAATTTTTCTGGACGTTTTTTTTATTATTAAGTTGTGTCCGTAAAAAGGATGATTTAAAATAGAAAGATTTTCAATGCCCTCGTAAATGCTCGAAACGCTGACCATCACACCTACGCATTCTTGAAGCCTCTCATGGCAAGACAAAACTGCAGCTTTGATTCTCTTTTTGCTATTGCGGCATTTTGAAGAGATACAAAATTGACTGCAAGCTTCATAGTTCGTAAAACGTATTTGGTAGAGCACAAAAATTGCACGAAGTAACGCGAAACTGTTGACAACTGTTGGCAATTCGAGGATTATTTACTACTATTCGTCGTTATTCGTCAGAGCGGTCCGGTGGACCTTTGCTCTTAGTTAAAAGTCTCGTCGGTCTGTTAGTGTGTCAAGTCTGGCTACCCAGATACCAAGCATGTTTAAGGGGAAAAGGGAAAGAATGAAAGAAAGGAAGGAAGAAATAGAGCGAATAAAAGAAGTAAATCATTTAACACAGCTTAAGCATTACTCGAATTATTTTGTAGCTCCAAAAAATAATTTTGACCGGTTTTGTATACTGAAATAATTTTGGCTGGTCTGAATTAACAATTTAATTTTGATCACAGTTCGAGGCGCGACCTGGAATGTTTGCGAACTTGACCGTGCAGTCTACTGAATCACGCAACAGAGGGTTGCTGTGCGATACGGCTTGATTATAACGCCGCTGCGCCTGTTGTTTTACATAATCCCTTAGATATGGGATATCAAGATATCTGTGAATGGTCTCATTTGGCACGTACCAAGGCGTGCTAGTAATTGTTCGTAGGGTTCTGTTTTGCAGGAGTTACAGTCTCTGCATGTGCGTCTTGGCAAGAAAAGACCAAGCCGCGCATGCGTAGGTGATTGCGGGTCTTATGACCATTTTATATGGGGTTGTCCAAAATGGACGCAGGAAAGTAAACGCATATTAAAACAAGAAAGATTGATATTCAAATCAAGTTGGGTACTTTATTTTGAAGGTTCATTTATACCATTTATGTATGAAAAATAATATCGCTCAAATGTTCACCACGACTGGATTTACAGACGTCCACGCGATGGTCGAAATTTTCAATGACATTTTGCAACATGGTCGGTTCTATGGCATTTACGAGTATCTCGGCAATGATGTTGTTTTTGAATCCTTGG